CACACACACACACACACACGCACACACACACACACACACACTTTTGCATGTAACAAGTACATTTGTCCATTAGTAGTACTTCAGTGTGCTGAAAAGAAGTTAACAGATTTGTACTAATCAATAAATTGATACCCTATACATAAAGATAATAATTGTATTAGTGCATGAATTAAAGGTGTGCCATGCAAACTTCACACACCTGTTCAATTTGTGTTGTTAGAGAACTGTGCTGTGGCTCAGTTGACATACAGACACAAACTCAAGAACATTAGAGGAGATGTTACTCTTCCCAGTGTGTTTCTATTATACAGCTGATTTCATTTTACCGTAAAAAGTACTTCTGTTGAATCAGGAGCCAGCTCTTCTAAACTGCTGATAATTTCCTTAGTTACTGAATGGACTTAACTCAGGTACACAGAAACATGCAGCTGATAGAGTAAGAGTAAGAATGCATAGGAATAATTATTTATTGTTTTGATGCTATGTATGGTAATTAGTCTTTTAAAACAAGAACAAAAAGTTTCAGTATCTCTGGCTATATCTCTAATTATATTATTGCTGCTTATGTCCCATTAATCCAGGCCTGAATATTCAGCAGAATAACCACCATATAACCCAGGTCACCTCGAGCAGTTTGAATACCCAGACTGTGTGCCAGTGGAATTAGTTTCCTTGACTGATTTCTGAAGCACTGGTCAGTGAAGTGGTCTCTGCACTCCTCACATCAAGCACACTTCTCCTTAGTCTGTGTATTTTCAGACTAAACCTGGAGAATCTCACCAACTGCTGCTGTTATTCCTGCTCTCCCTACTCTGTCATACTATTGTCTGCTGCAGTGTGATTGGTGAGACACTTTCCACTGTGTCTTTTCATTGCTCTGGAGGGTGTAACATCATCATGAGTGACGTTAGTCCAGGAGGTTGCATTGTATCACCAGAAAACAAGCACCTTGCATGTTTCCCTGCATTTAGAGAAACCACAGAGGCTAAACACTATCCATCACTTTGTGATGATGGTGAGATGCACCCAAGTTACATGGATGATATGAAGTCTTTGTTTAAGAGCCATTTTATTAGATTTATATGACTTGAACTATGTCTTTTCAGATGTTCCCAGTGTCACTGCAATAATCTTTCAGTCAGGCTCTGGTGCTACAGACTGATGAAGACCTGTGGATGTGTTCAGTCAACAAATATAGCATGCAGACGCGGTGTTGATAGAATAATAATAATAATAATAAGTCTGACTTAATGATGTAATAAGACAATAATGGCACCACCTTTATTTAGCAAAGCAGATGTTTATCTGGCTTAAAAAAATGGCCTTGTACATTTTCCCATGTTCAAGTCAGTCCTGGTGAAATTTGACATCTCTGTGTCTCCGTCTTGTATTTGTCACCAGTGAGAATGAGTGAGTACACACCCTGGGAACATGGTGTCCCCCCCACCTCAACAACCCTCTCTGCTTTATTTGTGTAATTCTATAAGGAAATCATGAATAGCAGGGGAGTGAGAGAGAGACCCTCTTTAAATGACCCTTTCTTTACATTGTAACTTAACTCCATTTCTTCCGCTATAACACCTTGACAAGGAGAATCCCTGCAAATAATGGGTTGTGCAGGGACACCATTGCTGCAGGCTGCATCCCTGTAATTGCTTAGCACTTCCTGGTACAGACGGCAGTTGAGATGACATGGGAATAGGTGAGTCTCCATAGACACACACACACACCTTATGGTGTCACCGCCCCGAGACAGCCAGCCTAGCGCACACATGCAAGCACCAAGCACACACACGCACGCACACACACGTTTTTGACAATAATTCATTTCCATGTGTTTCGTTTCATTTTCATATTACTGAATATAAGTTTTGTTTCTCTGATAAACACTTTTTCATCCCCTGACTTCTCATTGAAAAACCTTTGATTCGAAGTGATGTGGTGATTTTATCTATTTTATGTGAATAATTTGTTGAAAGAGTAAAAAGAACAAAAGCTGAAACAAAACGACGATCATTAACAAAACGCAAAGGAGAAGAAAGGTAACACAACAATAGGAACACAGACACACAAATTACACAGGCATCTACATTTATACATGCGTTCACACACACACACACACACACACACACACACACNACACACACACACACACACACACACACGCAAACAGCCTTTTGGCAGATGGTGAACCATGAGGTAGACAGGGCTGTAAAACAAGCCTGTTCTCTTTGTCCACCTACGCAGCACTTTGCACACTGTGTCTATCAGATGGCTGCGTTTTATCAAGGTGTGGTTGACACTGGCTCCACACAAAGCTCCGTTCAACAGGAATAATGGAGGCCTGCTTCCAGCTACTGAGGTGTCAGTGCTGGACTCATGTTATTGCCAGGCAGCTCTCGGTTATCACTGCCATTTTGCGCCGAAAGCATATGGGAAGTTTACAGCTGTGTGTGTGTGTGTGTGTGTGTGTGTCAATGACACACTCGGGTGACAGTTGCTTCCTTCTGGTACAATATGAAATGTGTGATAACACATGCTGCAGGTTGTGATGACACCTACATTTTTACTTTAATCTGAACCATGGAGGAAAAGAGTGATGTGGACTCATAAGCAGTTTATGGGACATAGTTTGTAACCGGTCTCCCCATTCGATAGTAGCCAATTGGTGATGGGACAGCAAAAATATGAAACTAACAAACCATGTTCTCCTGTTGTCTTCACATTGCATTTTCAGTTGTCAGTGTGACTCAGTTCTTGTCAGCCCAGCTCCAGAGAGACTCCAGACTTTGACTCGCTGCTCCAAACATTTTCCAAATGCACTCTGCTAGACATGCTGCACTTTATCTACATCAAACTGAGAAGTATGCATTGCTCAGGGTGACCAGACTGTATGTGTAATTATACAGATGCATAGATGCTGGGTCTAAGAGGCACCCACCCCTGTCAATTATCAGGCAGTTGGGAGGAAGGGGGGAGATTATGCATAATTGCCGACCATGGCTGTGCCTGGGTGTTTCCTCCCGAGTCAAATCACTGAGACAGAAGGTGATTAGTGGATTTGCCATGCGTGCAGACAAATACTATGTTGCTCAACTTCATACTTGCTGCTGGATTTGGCAGTAGACAGAATGAGTAATGATAATGTCTGCTATATAAAATCTAAGAATGATTGGACCTGATGAATCGGTGACAAAATAGATCAGTGTTCACAATAAAAAATGTTTGGAGGCTTTAGGTTTTAACAAGTGGTCAGATGAACGTGGAATGCATTTTGGCATTTTGCACTTATAACTAATAGTTTTATTTGAAATATTTTAATATGGCCACATGTAAGATTTTTTTTTTTGCAGAACAATTATTTCTGAGCTGGCAGAAAATATTATTTTACATTATGTGTCAGGATATGATACTGTGGAAAACTGGCAAATCCATTTTGATTGACACTGCTCTCATGTTACCATAGGGTTCATACAACAGAAGCTTACAGGCAATTAATATTAAATGAAGCCAAACTCAGAAGTGGGTGGGTGTGAGACACATAATCTTAAGTAGTTAGCTCGTCTTGAGCTGCTGTTGTAGATTCAGTGCACAAGGGGCAACTGTTGCTAAGGGTCCTGTTACCCTAGTAACTGCTGACTGTTTACTCTGGTGCAGAGCGCGGAGCGCGGAGTGCAGTGGGCTCTGCAGACAGGCCGAGTGATTTCAGTCTCTGTCAAGTCTGTTGGTTTGCTGCTTGTCTGCAGATGGACTACACGGTTGAGCACACGTGGCAGAAAGAGAGTGGACTGAGTAGGTTTTTCACGAAGTCTGACGGTCCATGTGTGTGACACTGGAGTGGCAGGTAAATCCATTTGCTTCCAAATGTAGCTACAATAAGGTCATAGTTCAACTCCGGCTTTCTATCACAAAACACTGCATTTGTTTCCAGATGCTACACTTGTTCTTAACGTGACATCTTTAAAAATGTTGTTGTCAAATGTTATATTAGGGGGCAGGATCCTGGATTGAATCCCAGATCAGACAGATCTTTTCTGTGTGGAGTTTGCATGTCCTCCCCTTTCCTTCCACAGTCCAAAGACATGCAGGTCCCAATGTGACCTTGGATTTTCTCTGTCCTCCCCCATGACCCTCAAAGGATAAGCGGTATAATGTAGATAATGGATGAATGGATATTGTAGACAGAGTCGGTAACCAAGGAGATTGAGGTAATGTGTCATGGGCCTTTATAACTATAGGGCAACACAGTGACACCATCCAATAGTTGTTTAGATATTTCAATCTGAACCAAGGCATTTATCTGACCCACATAACCACACAGAGCCATGAATCTACCAGAGTTTAAAAAGAATAATGTCACGTATCATCTCATTAAGATGTACTAATTATTAGTTATTAATGAAGAGTTAAGGTACAGTGTGTAAAGGTACAGAATTGAATGACATCTAGTAGTGAAGTTGCATGTTGCAGCTGAACACCCCTCACCTCACCCTCCCCTTCTAAACATAAAAAAGAACCTGTGGTAGCTTCAGTTGTCATAAAACTCGAAAGGTTTTTAGTTTGTTCAGTCTGAACTAATGTAAAAATGTAACGTAAATGTAAAAGTATTTAAATATAAAGGGCCTTTTCTGGGCTCAAGAACTACAATTCATACAATTTAGATGAAATGAACTAGTGAAAACATCATGAGAATTATTCTACATTCACTTTCTGCCAATAGTTCTTTTTCACCTAAGTCTTACACACTGGACCTTTAACTGTTACCCTTCTTTTCCACACATCATCGAATCCTCAGCATATTGTGACTAAAGGTAAACGTTTCTAACACACTAACACAGGTCTACTCTCCTCCCATGTTGGAACATTTCTAGCCATCACTAACAAGCTGCTCATGTCATCTGAGTCCCGGGTGGAGTCGTGCACTGAGGGCCAGGGAGAGGACACAGGGCTGGAGAAGAAACAAAATGGAGTGGAGACAGGGGAGGTGGAGGTTCCCTGCCAGGACCACCAGCCTGCAGAGCCTGCAAGCCTGAGGAAAGGGGTGTATTCATCACTTGACCACAGAGGAACGCAGGAAGTGACATCAGAGGGTGGACTGGAGCAGGTTCAAAGGGAGGAGATGCAGAGAAAGAAGTTTTCCCACATGAGGGTCAACCAGGGCCGAGCTCGAGGGTCAGGTGTGTGGGACATAAAGTGAGATTTGTAATTGAGATTCTGTCTAAACAGTGTGATGTGCTATTGCACATAAAAATTCAAATGTTCAGAAACCACTAGAGGCTGATGAAACACTTCATGCAACTGTTGCAATCCACTGATTTCTTTTTTGTACATCTGTATTATTCTGCAGAGTATTTGTCACTGTCAGTGCATCACCACCAAATACTAACATGTACACGTGATAGAGCTTATGTAAATGTGTAGATAACTGGATTCCTGCTGGATTTCTGCATATTCGTGTATGTAAAAATAACAGGTGCTTGCTCAGTGCAGCGATGTCTCCGTAGGTGCTGTCCCAGGGGCTTGTCAATTTGCTCCTACCCAGACAAGGACAGAGAAGGACATCGAGATGAACCCCGGGGGCCTGGTCCTTTCTATTTCTTAGGTGGAACCAATGGGGCTGAAATGTAAATAGAAAAAAATGAAATAAAATTGCTAGATTAAAAGATTATTTTAAATATAATCATACCATATTAGAAGTTTTCCTGTGATTGTATGTGAACCTTAAGAAAGTTGATCATTAATTAAGAGAGACAAGATTTTACTTCTGGGAAAAAAACCTTTCTACGAAGGGTTACAGCTGAAGTGTGATTGATGTCCTCTGGGTTTTTTCCTTCAGCGTGAGCAGTTACTTTGAGAGCAGAGGGTGGAAGAGGATTTACAACAAGCACAGGGAGGATTTCAAACTCAAGTGGTGTGAAACCAAATCACCAGCCAACTACTGCAACTTTAGAGAAGGTAGTGAGAGTGCAATTAATGTGTTTAAATATATCTACTACCCCCATACATATCCATTGAAAAATATAGCTGATGTTTCCTTTTGGTAGAAATCAGTGTACGGCCACTTGTTCACATAAAGAAAATCTCACGTGTTGTTTCCAGGTAAACAGTTGCTATACCAGATTCCCAACAACAAGGTGCTCACCACTAAGATCGGCCTCCTCAGCAGTCTGCGGGAATATGAACGAGTCAGCAGCAAAGTCACCCACGGTCAAGGACTGAGGTGAAGTGGACAGCTGTCTCCCTGCTGCGTTCGTCTCTCTTATCCAGACGCCTTTGTATCTATTAAAAGCAGACAGATGTAACTGTCGATTCACAGGAACGACAGTTGTGGCTAAAGTCTCTTAGCAACCATCTGGTACCACCGTGGAGCGTCGGCTCTGCCTGACTCTGCAAACATTGAAACACGTATCAGCTTGTGATACTATTTAATAAACACAGAGCAAATTCCCGAATAAGGAATCAGGTCCACTGATCTAAATCACCCAAGCCCAGGTTTAAGTTTTTCATATGTCAACTACATAAAGTTCATCAGTGGTTTATGACTAATGAATACTCAAAACTTACACTAACACAAACCTTTAACACAGGAAATATCTGCATGTAAATATAGGTGATGTAAAATACGACTTAAATACCAAATATTTGTTTTGGTATTTTTGTTTGACAGCAAAAAAAAAAAAAGATGTGACCCAAACTAACAAAAGTTTTATGGTGGAAAAAAAACTAACCAGGCACAAAGTATTGTACAAAACAAAATATTTCTATGTGTCTTAAAGGATTAGTTTGACATTTTGAAAAATAGAATCATAGTGTTGGAAGTACAGACTGACAATACTGTCATGTCTATATGCTAAATATGAACCTCCACCCAGCAGTAGCTTAGTATAGCTTAACATAGAGACCGGAAACAGTTAGCTCACTCTGCAGAACAATTTTTTATATCTCTTTGTTTTAAAAATATGACGTAAAGAATACATTTAGGCATCTCTAAAATGATTAATACGTTTTCCTGATAGCTGAAAATAGTAATTTGTCCGAACATCCTTTCAAAAATAAAGCTGCCAACGTTTATTCATTGAATAATAAACTTGACCTAAAGCTGGAAAATGTACATCTGTGTTTATCACATTTGTGCTGCATATAATAGAACTAAGCCATTACAATATACTTTGTGTAAAAACATACTGTGGTGTTATGTTGTCTTCCTTCCTTCAGGCAGTCACTGGCTTCCAGTCTTTTAGAAAGTTGAGTCAACTTATCGAAGTGAACATTACACCTGGGATTTCAAATCATTGACAACATAACTGTTAAATATTAGCAAGTGTCGAGCAGTAATCTGTTGTATTTGTAAAAAAAAAAAACCCATATGCAATGGCACTTGAATAGTTCTTTAATTATTAAAAAATGTATTATTTAAATCAAGTGAAACATTTATTTTGTCTCAGGCAGGTCTGACTTTGAGTGTGTTTAATCATACCTCAACTAGCTGAGGACATGCAGACATTCACTCTCTCCTGGTCTGTGTTGCACTTCACAGGAGGCTGAAGATGGAGGAGTTCATTCCCACCACCTTCCGCATGGATGTGAGGGAGGAGAGGGAAGCTTTCTTTGCCAAGCAGGAGGGTAAAACACATCCCACCCACATTCACATGCAACACATCCTAATGCAACAACAACACAACACTGCTTCAGTTGGATATGTGTTTTGTTTGAAGACTCCCAGTCAAACCTGTCCTACATCCAACAATGAAAGAAGCAGTTTGTGCTCAGCAGTGTTAAGACAACAGTTGCCTTGGTGATTGTTTAATCAAGAGGTTGAGGTCGTTGGAAAATAATGCACTTCACCTCCCATAAGGCCCTGATAAAATCACCTAGGGAACATGCTGTTTCCATAGAGATGAGTCAGCAGAGGGCAGGGCTGAGACACAAACACAAGGAGAGACGCTCAGCAGGATCTGGGTGTAGAGTCGCTGCAGCACTGATCTGAACTGAGACAAATAATAATACCTTTAGGATTGTGACACAGAAACCTACTAAATATTTTCATTAATATTATGGATTGTTTATAAATGATTTACCTGATTCTGTGTTGTTTGTAACATTGAGACACACATGACCAGTGGTGTGCAGGTTATGACAAACATGGTTATCATTAAGTAAACAGGAGAAAGATGGACAGGTGGGTTCGCTCTGTTAGTGATGGATGAATCTACAGAAGAAAGGAGAAAAGTAAAAGAAACAACAAAAAACAATTCTCCTGCTGAGTATATTCCTTTTAATGTTCCATTTTCATCATGTAACTTCAATGGTTACAAGTCCTTCATTCATAAGATTGCTGTTATTTGCAAATGTCATCAGTTCAATACACACACACACACGTACACGTGCACCATTGCATATATGATTAAAAATGTCATTACTTTTCATGAACTGGTATCATGTACATGACAATAAAATCTAGAATCTTAAATTACTCATTCTCAAAGTACTCATAATACACATAATACACACAGGACACTACTAT